CCCCCCGCCCCAATGCTACCTACGCTAAATCTAGAACATCAAGTTAGTTTTTTTTTTCCTGAAAAAAGGCAAAAAAGACTTTACATTGCATCATACAGCAGATATCCTAAATCAGTCAAACTATCAGAGGAAACTGTAGGCGTACAGCCTTACAAACAATTTACCCTATTAAAAGTTCCCCAGTCAGAAAATGTGTTTCACACAAAACATTTTTCCCTTCTTGCATTTCACTACCTTACACATTATGTGAAAAATCATTAAAAACACCTACTACATATTTAAAAAAGCCAAAATTTCAGCAACTTTTATTGACTACCTTTTAAAAGCCCTATGCTGCTGTTTTACAAGGCATAATAGACCAGCTCATTTGGTCAAAGCATTCTACATCATTAGTTTGAACTAACTTTTACTGAAACAGCTACAGCATCAAAAGAGTTAAGGCAAATTGGAATTCATAGAAAAGGATAAGACACTTCACACTACATTGAAAGAAAAATGGAAAGCTAAGAAAAGAGACACTGACGGCAACACTTAATTACAACGACACTCGCACTGCAAGCACAGAACACCATGGCTGAAGTGGACTATTTAAACTTCAGAAAGCCCATTTCATACAGCTGAAAAAAAAAACACAAATTAAACACAAAATGAACAAAACCACAAAAATCCGGTCATGCACTTGGATAAGTCTTCATGGTCTTTGTGCATACCCAGAAAATTGAAGTTTTTTTTTTTCTTTTTTTTTTTTCTCGCATCATAACATTTGATAAAAATCTTTTGTTTTTATTTTTTGTTTTTTTTTTTTACTAAAATAAACCTGTTCAGGGGAACAGCTACTAGATGAATTTAAGGGTTTTATGCACCTTATAGAACTTATAGCAAAAATAGTTTCAGTTGATTTCATTATAAATAACGTTTTCAAGAACCTGTGCAAAACTGTCAATAATTTCCTAAAGCACAATTGATCAGAAAAATCCATGATTGTTCAGCCTTCACACCCTTCTTCATGTAAGGACACCCTTCTGTACATCTGTAAGAGAAAAATAAAGGACAAATAAATACTTCTGTAGATTTGGTATAATACGCCACAGAGCTTTGTAATCTCTTTTTCGTCTTAAAGAGACATGTTTGAAAGAGGCTGTGCTTATCACTGGTGGTTGACTGATAAACTTCAGAACTGATGGTCGCTTTTCAATGGCTTGAGTCCACCTTTCAAACCTGGGACTTGCAAAATTCTCTTTTCTAATCTAAGGGAACGAGAGCCAAATTCATGTGGGTCTCCTCATCTTCGAAGATGAAGGGTGACTTTATAAAATCAACAATATTTATTATCACTAGGGCAATCCCGAAACCAGGTTGTTCTACGTTCCACACAGCTATTTTCTGCAATCTGTGTGGTAAAGGGAAATGTTTTGAAATTTGTGGTTCGAGTGAGAGCTGGGAATATAATCTTTCACTTTAGGGTTACTGACATTAATCTAAATTTATAGTCAAGATATTGTTAATCTTGTAATGCTAGATTAAGCAACATATTATACTATAATTCCTTTAGTTTAGGAGTATTAGAGCAATATAATGCAGGATACTTGTATTATAGGATAATTTTGGTATCTGGTGTTCTCTGAGTTACAGATTTTGTGTGTGTGTGTGAGTGGGGAGAAAATATATACATATGACTTTAATATAAAGCATTATTCTTTTTGGGCAGAACAGTTAATCTGCAAATTCACAAAATCACCAATTTTAACATTTCAATAAGACTGGATGCCTTGGCCATGATTAAAGCAGTATGATCAAATCTTAGTTATTCTAAGCATGATTTTGGTAAAAGAATCATAAACTTAGCTTAATTTGAGTCCCACACTTACAGAGACCTTTCCCTCATACCTCACAGTTACTTATTGGGTTGAAAGGTATATGGAGAATGGTCATTAGACGTCTCTACAGCCACCTGCTGCTGACCACTCGCCTCCTACAACAAAGCAGAACAGATGGGACATGTTAGCAATGAGATCCAAACTCTGCTATAGGCCTGAGTCCAACACACACCTTAAAAACAAGCACTCTTTAAAGTGAATTTCTTAATGTCATGTAAACCTTTCAAGGTTAATCATTTCCCTAAGCAGCTGAAATGTCTGACAGACCCAAAGAACCTCCCATCCAAACATTTGTGACTTGCCTATTCTTATCAAGCTACAATTTATTGGATAAATCTCTTATGGTCTTATCCCCTGTAGCCAGATGTAATTCGGAATTCGGTATTTTCAGAGTTTAAAATCTTTTTTTTTTCCTTTTTGTCTTTTTTACTGACCGGTAACGGGATCGCAACCCTTGGTGTCGCGCCCGTACCGGGGACCGGCAACGGGATCGCAACCCTCGGTGTTGTGCCTGCACCGCGCTCAGCCAGTGAGCGGGAACCAGTCTCCACATGGGATCCGAACCCTCAGCGGGAGCGCCGCCGCGCTCCCAATCGGCGCACTCTCCAGTGCGCCACCGGGCCGGCCCCAGAGTTTAAAATCTTAAAAACCATATGCACATGCTGTATACAGCATATCCACCAGCAGGGTCTAGGGCTGTACCTCATAATCAAACATATTAATAGGCCTACTGGATTGAATTATGTCCCCCCAAAACTCATTGAAGCTTGAATTGTGTACCCCAAGTTTTATGTATTTGTAACTTAGCCACCACTGTGACTATTAAGAGGGTGGGAAATACTATTATGATAATTGAAAGGTGGAGCCTTGAAGAAGTGATTGGGTTGTAGGACCCTGCAGTAGTGAATGGATTAAAAATGGTGGTGAGGGGCATGGTTCTGAGGGCTTTAAAAGAAGAGAGAGTCTGTTTCTTTCTCTCTCTCTGCTTCCACCATCTTGCAATGTGAGACCCCTAGGTCACTGTTGCCCCCACCAGATGGACTTTGGACTTCCCAGCCTCAGAAATTGTAAGCAATAAATTTTGTTTTCTTTATAAATCACCCAGTTCCAGGTATTTTGTTATAAGCAACAGAAATGGACTAATACAATAAGTTTACACAGTAAGTGGGATAAAGACTTTGTCTCGTCTCAGTTCAAGTTGGATTTTGTCACAGGACACGTTTTTTGCTAAAGTAGTTACAAAGAGAACTTTTATTTTCAGATTTTTTGAGGGTTTCAGAATCGCAGATAAGGAACTATGGGATCTGGTAACAGCTGCTGTCAATAACTGAACAATTGGAAGCAAATATTACTACTACTACTATTAATAAGCCACAGTCTCATGATCCTTCCTGGAATTGGAACCTTTGGAATCTGCCTAGTGGTGGGATCAATTGGATTGATGACTTTCTTTGGAATTTTAAGGGTACTTTGCAGGAAAATGCTATGCTTTCTGTCTGATCATAATTAAAATGCCAGACTTCTCCCATACCAATATCAGTATCTTCTATAACAAGAACTAAGAGTTATTTAGCTAAACTAACAGCCTCTATAAAAACAGGTTTGGTTTCTTCCTCATCCCTGTTACAGTTTTGAAACATTAGCTTTTCTTTTTCATTGAGTGTCTTGATATAACTGATTTGTTTTTGTCATTATTGATACAATCTTTAGTACTAGGATTGCAAACTCCAAATTTATCTTAATGTGCCTGTAAGAATAATTCTACAGGAGACAAGGCAGACTCTTGAAGGGGTATGAAATGTGTTATAAGCTTGGAAAATACTTATGGGAGTCTTGGGGGTGTGGCCTGGATGTTGTTAACCTAATTTATATGGAGAGAATTATATTTTCTAGTTGAAAATAATACTTTAGGTAAACACTCTCTCTAAACTCAAGTCTTCATGTAAATGTTTGACTTTTGATAGATTTTTCTTTAGTTCTATTTAATTTACTGATTTCTGAAACTACTTGTTGCCAGAATGGCCACTGGATGGCCTGTACCAACCTCAACAGGAACCGCCGCCGTCTGCATGTGTGCATACTGTGGCAAATAGGCTCCTTGCATAGCTGATGCTGCAGGCATGTACTGAAAAGAATAATAAAGTCAGGATGGGCAATAGCAAACCATGCAATATTCTGAGTGCTTGGGAACTTTTGAGATGGACATAAAGCATTTGGAAGTCTCAAAGAAGAAATTTAAATGGGCTACATCAAAACTTAATTAGTGCACATAAATATGTCACGGAAGGCAAAGTGCATGTTTTCTACCTTTTGAAATTTGTCAAAGTACAAAATCCCACTTTTCTTTGGATTTCTTTACAAAGCAGCACATGAATGAAGATCATTAAAGTTTCTCATCTTCAATAATTCAATATCACTAATGTGTTATTTTAGATCTCTCCTCAAAGGACCTCATTATTTTCTAGCAGCTCCCTGAACTAGTATCTAGTATCGTTTCTATAGGTGGAGACCCAAGCGGTAAATGACTTACTAGACCTTTAACAGGTTACTGCAGATTAGGCAGTGCAACCCTGCTTTTCTGATGCTGATAGTCATCCTTTCCCAAAGGCAGGAGGATTTTCTAGTTAATCTCATTAGATGTGTGTGGCCCTGGCTTAGCCTTCACAAGAAACTGCTGCTATGTCTTAGGTATATGAGGTGATAACACAACACCTTTTGTTTTTGTAAGCCACCACAGACACAGGCTGACTTCAATGGCTTTGGCCACATTCCCTCTAAACACTAAGCATACCAACCTGCAAGTTGAGCTGGTATCTCATTCCCCAACTGAGTCCCCTGGACTTTGGTGAAATAAGTCAATACTAAGGTCATGATTCAACACCCCCAAATTCCATAAAAGAAGTAATAAGTGGGGGAAAATTTCCTGCCTTTCCTATCACGTATCATCTTCATCTTTTGCTTCATGAGACTAGTGCTTCATGACACCTGCACAGTGTCATGAGTGACACTAGTTGTAAAGGCAAAATGTGGTCTTACTTAGAGTAGACTTTTAGTTCATCAATTAATCAAGACACATCTGAGCATCCACTTTGTGAAAGGCAATCTGGGGCGAAGGGAGGAAATCACACATCATCTTTGTTATCACAGATTCTGTACTCTGATAGGGAAGATATAGGTGGCATTAATGCATCCTCCTCTGTTTGCCAAGACACATGATATTAATTTGCCACCTACTGTTCCGGTGCTGCCTAGCGACAGATGACTCATCTGCTGGGCCAGAGGGCTGATCATAGATGCGGGCTGTAGTGACATGGTGTGCTCCATTGAGGGAGTTAACACGGCACCCTGGGGAGTTGGAGATAAGAGCAACATAAGACAAACTCAGGGAGAGTTAAGATTCTGTAATTACCTTTTGCAAAGAAAATGCCTTAGGTTGTTGAGGGATGTGAAACAAAAATAATCTCCTCTCAAACCACAAATGGTATCATAAACAATTTCCTAAAAATCTTCTAGACTGTTCTTCCTGAGACTTTCATAAGAGCATTAGGGGAAATTATCTCTTGGCACTCACTTCACAAAAAACCCTGTATTACACAACTCTCCCTTTCCCTTCCCTTCACTTAACTGCAAAGCAAGCTCGTCCAGAAGGAGGAGCTACAGTACGAAACACAAACTATGACCACTGCTGGCTGGCTAGGGTTACAAAATACTTTCCTTAAAACTTAAAAAAAAAAAAAAAAAAGACAGTTGATGCTTTCTGTAGCCACATAGAACAAATGTAAAAATGTTCTATATGTATAGTCATTTGTGTAAAATGTTCCATACAGATAGTCATTTGGTTCAAGATTAGGTTGTCAGGATTGAGAGCACATTCTTCATTCACTCGGTGTTTCTCAGAACTTTAAGCTACATTTTGGTGCCAGGGGACGGAGGCCAATTCAGATATAATTAATAAACCAATTCCAGATTTGTTTACTTCATTTGAAGAAGTGCTGTTCATTAAAAATCAAATAAAGTATATTGATGAAAACAAAGAGGAAGGGTGAAAAATCATCCATAACTCAGTCTAATACAACTACTATTAGAAATGTCAGTGTGCCACTGCTCAGATTCCAGCCTCTTCATGTTCTTATATAGTTGTAATCAGAATATATAAACAATTTCATAACCCGAGTTTTTGCTTTTAACTTAGCATCCTATTATAAACATTTACTTAACTTACTGCATAGCTGTCATTATCATCATTTTTAATGGTTACATCATGGTACACTGATTGTATAAACCAAAATTAATTAACTTTATTTTTGGACTTTTGAGTCGTCTCTAATTTTCCTATATGATATTCTTATGGACTATACCATTCCTCTCGCTTTTGCAATCACCCAAGGACCTAAGAATGTAAGTATTGTGACATGCTCTATACATACTAATGTATGTTTTGATATCACTGTAGGTCACAGCCCTTAAATACACTTTTATTGATAATTAGACACATAGTTGAGGGCACTGTTAGTTGTGCAGGCATTTAAATTTTGGTTTAAATCAGGCAGTTTAAATCTTGGTGGGGAAAGGTAACAAATCCTCAGATGGGGACCTTCTGCATACACTCCTAATGTTTCCTCAAAAATGAGATATGTGCAGTCTTTGCCTCTAAAAATTGTCAAAAAGAAAAAAGGGTACAGATGTATAGCAGAGACAATGTTTGTTGTTAACACATTTTATAAGAAAACTTTTTAACTTTTAATGTCCATCATCAAAAAGCTTGTGGTTTGGCATCACGTCTAGAGACAAAAAAGAAAAATAAAAGCATGTGGTAACACGGAAATGACTCAGAAGCCCAGAAATTGATAAAGGGGTTTTTCCTGCTCCTTTTTCTCATTCATCAGGACAATCTGCAGGAGTTACTGTACTAGGAAGTCCCCAAACTAAAACTGGGTTGACTCCAGCATTCTAAAATAGGGTAGCATGGAGTATCAGGGACACAGATAGCCATTGGCATATGTGGATTAGAGGATATGTATTATGTATCCATGTGTAGGCATGTGTGGATTAGTGGAAGTAGGTGTATATGTATGTGCACAAGTATAGCTATATATGCATGTATGTGTATATATCACACAACACACATACATATGTGGGTACTCCAAAAAGTTCATGGAAAAAATCGAATTATAAGATAACGCATCTATCCATGAACTTTTTGAGGTACTCTCAAACATATATCATTAGAGAGCTCTTCTCCTGGTTTATCACCTAAACATATTTTACTTGCTTCTTAAAGACCATCTCAGTGACTTCTTGTTCAGAACTTGTTATCCCTGGATTGCTGTTTCATACACATGATTTTACATTGCAGTGTCCACTTTAGGAGGTATTCTGAGACAAATTCCTATCTCATGTTAAGACCAAGTATAGAGTTCTTTTTCTAGGCAACTGATCTGTTTTTATCTTATAAATACTGTGAATTGTACTGCTTATTAGAATTCCCATTTTGCATTGATTACTGGAAAGCTTAGGTCCAAGTTTGTGGCCTTCTCATGGCAAGTGTGTGGGTCACTGTGTTGGGCATTCTTAGCCCTTATTTGTGACTTTGTTTTCCATCTCTATTTTCCAACCTTTTAAACCCCTACTTTAATTCAACAAACTGGATTTTGAGTGTCTTTGAAAAACATGTTAAATACACCATATAATAAGGTGAAGTGTAACTCACTCAATTAAAAAATATGTACATAAGAACAACAAATGCTCATGTCACTAGAGAATTCACATTTGTTATTTAACAAAGAATGCATTACTACTTTAATATTTTATAATTTCCACGGAGAGGCTAAGTAACACTGATGAAAATCTCTACCTCAATTTTGCTCTTTATATGTGCATTAAACAGAACATAAAAAAAACGACAGCTGTCTCATCTAAGTATTGTAAAAAAATTTAGCCACTCAATTGAATGATCTCCTGCAAAACTGGTATGAGCAAGAAAATGGTGCCCTGCCTCAAATATAATGTATTTTAAGTTCCTAATTTAACTTCATGTCTGCTAGCTACTTATTTTAAGACAAGAGTGAGTGGAAGTTTTATCATGAACTTGTACATTCTCATATTCCATTCTAAAAATTCCCCAAATCCTATTTTGGGAAAACTAGCAGGGCCCTCACTGGTTTTAACCCAGAAATTACACATACACAGTTTACTTGCAATGCACAAAGCCATTTAGATGAAAAACTTACTGGGTGCTGTAGAATATATGGTTGAGGTTGCATCCAAGAAGGACTTTGCACCTGGAAAGGGAGGATTTGAAAGAAACATTGATTTCCATTGTAATGCTTACCTATTTTCTCTAGAACTCTTTTAAATCATGTTAAAAATCTACAGAAGGAAAATAAACACTACTATCAACGATTAAAAAGATTAAGGCAGTTAGAATTCTTGGCAAACTGGTCACTCTGAATGGATGAAATGATTATTTAGAACTGATTTCTATTTGTCCACTCAAGAAGTATTCATTAAGTATCAGGCACAAAAGAGACAAAACTGAATAAGACATGGGCCCCACTCTCAGGAAATTTACTGTCGAAGCAAGGGAGAAACACATAAACTCAAGTAAAGTAGTGAGAAGTGTTATAATTAAGGAATGAACTAGGTGCTTTAGGAATACAGATGTATGAGGATTAATTCCAGCACACCTTATTAAAAACTAACCCTTAATGTATGTGCTTATTTAATAAGAATAACCAAATTCAATCTCTCTTTGATACCTAGGACGTTAGGTTTTAGAAATCTTGTATGGTCATCAACAATTTTCTAGTTAGTGTGGTAAATAAAAATCTGAAATTCAGATTTAGGAAATTAAACTTCACTAACAGATCTGGGCATCTATAGTGAAAAGGGCATCCACAAAGTAGAACCTCTGAACTGAGAAGTAAGACCTGAGAGTAAGGCTTTGTGGCAGGGAAGAAAGCATGTGTAGCTGTCAACTCAAGAGAAACACTTAACAGTCCACTTTTTGATGTCCAGAGCTTTCTAGAGTACGTGTAATTTTAAAATAAGTTTCAGATTCTAATTCTTAACAACAAAACCCTCCTGTATCTTATCCCCTATTGTTAACTTGAGAGGTTCTATAGAGAGGATATGGGGAAGAGTCATGGGGGAAGAATGTGCTGTGATTTACCTTAATAGCAGAGCCCCGATACTTGTTTTCTCTGGTTTCCTTTGCCACCTAAGGCAGACCAAAGTTAAGTGCTTCTGCCTTGTTAACATTTTAATTATCTGGACTGTAGCCTTGCCCCATTGGGGCACTGGTGGTTTCTTGCAGATGCCAATTTCTCAAATCCAATTGCATAAGCATATGGTGGTTTAGTGGAGAAAGGTCCACTCCGACATGAGTGCAGAGACCTCACTGGATAAATCATGGGGAGGCAAGCACCACCCTACAGACCGCAATTTGGGCCAGATGCCCTCATTTTTATATGCTTCAGTGGTCTTAATAATCTAATAGCCTGTAGAATTATGGGGTTAGGGAGATATGACATCTAATCCTATTTTCTTTCTTAAGCAGCAAATCAGCTGTTGTCAATTTCTATTCCTCAATTTTCTCTAATTATAAAATGGGAATAATAATCTATGTTCTATAAACTCTTTACCATTGGTTCTTATCCTCTTTGAAACATGATGAAAGAAATAAGACATTTTTCCTTCAATTAATAGTGTGCACAAGTGCGAGCGCGTGCGTGCGCGCGCGCACACACACACACACACCATTTTGCAAACAACTTAAGAGGATCACAGATCACTTAAAGCTCATCTGCTGATCCTACTGGGTCCCTGAACTTATGGGGTTAAGAATCTTACAAGCTATGTCTTACACATTATGTCACTGAGCATCAGGCAAATAGAATGAAATTATACACGTATCTTAGAGAAATACAGAATGCCCAGGACAGGAAATAAGGTTGAATGATATGCTGTTTCCGGTAAGCCATATCAAAACTATGAATGACATTAGTCTCCTAATTTTTTATTCTATGAAATGATTCTGTGGTCAAAATGCATATTGCTTTTATATTAAAGAAGGGAAAAAGAGGTGGTGGAGAAATGCTTTTATGGCTATAATATCTATATCAACATAAACTCAAATTAATATGCACACTTTCTCATTTGCTTGAGAATAAGCTTACTTTTGTCCCTATTTTTAATGACATATAAATGACAGGTTTTCAGGTTCAGACAGTTAAGAAAGAAGACTGCCATTTAATATCAGACAAAGGAATTGTTTATTAGGTAAAATGCACTACAGCAGATCTCAGTGAGTCTTGTATAGGCAAGGAAGAGGTAGAAATCTTAAGTCCAAAACAACTAAAGAGGCATTAAATGAGTGACTACTATGCCCAGCAGACAGAAGCACCAGAAGAAGTAACGTAACAACCCAGAGAAAACAGAGAAAATGAGTGAAAACTCAGGGAAAGGATAAAAGAAACTAAAAGCTGAGGGAGGCTGTGAATGCTACTTTAAGAATTCAACTTTAGCACATCAAATCACTTCTCTCTGTTATTCAAACCATTTTTATGTTTTTAGACAGAACCAGCTTTATAATATTGCTTATGTTGACCAATCCATTATTTAAACATTACTAAAAACAAAAGTCAAATTGTAAGAGTATAATTAATATACTCTTATTATCAGCCAGCTAATCCTGCATATTAATTATAATAATCATAGCTAACATTTATTGAGTGCTAATAATATGCCAGGTACTGTGCTGAGCTCTTTACACAGACAGTTTCATTTAGTTCTTATAATTCTCTCAAGCCTGTGAGACAGAAACTATTATTATCCCCATTTTAAAGATGAGGGAACTGAGGCGTACGGAAATTAAAATAACGCAGCTATTAGATTAGATACTGTAGATTAGATACATGCTAGCTACATTTCAAGTTCTCAGACAGCCACACGTGGCCAGTGGCTATCACTGGACAGTGAAAGTTCTAGAACATTTTCCCTATTAGCCAAATGCAGCTACAAAAAATTAAATGAAAATTCAATCTCTCTAGCATACTAGCTACATTTCAAGTGCTCAGACAGCCACACGTGGCTAGTGGCTATCACTGGACAGTGAAGATTCTAGAACATTTTCCCTAGATATCCTTGATATCCCCTAACCCCAGAAATTAGGACTACAACATTTAATTCAATTGTTTTAAATATAAGAATACACAAAAATTTAGTTTAGTCCCACAGGATTCCAACAGTCAACAAAAGAGAACTCTATTTCCATGTCTGTGCTTGAACTCCACACAATGTAAGGCAGTAACCCTCTTAGAGTACTCTCTGATACGGGAGCAGGAATGCATGTATACCACTGGGTTCATGGAGAATAGGAGCTAACCCTGCAATAAAACCACACCAGTATTATAACAAGGTGCTTAACGAGATTTTGTTTCTAAATTGGGAATTTATTTTAAGGTAAAGTCTCTTCACAAAATAAACTAAATTGGGAGTCACCTCTTTTTTTTGGCCTCAAATCTCGTCTGCATCGCTCATTTAATGCTACCTAACAGAGACATATCTTTGTGTATTTGCATGTTTACTGGTTCTTTTATCAGTTCCTGCTGACAAATAAACAAAAGTAAGGGCACACACCTACTGTATTTTACCTAATGATAATTCTCTTAAATTTCAACTTTTAGGACACATGGTGTCCAAAGGAAGGGCCTGCTGCGGAAGAAATATTTGGGTTCATCCCAATTCTAAAATGCTGTGATTCTAAGGACTGACAACTGACAACCATTTTTTGCTTTACATTCTCCTATACATACAAGTAAATCACTCTGCCAAATAAAAAGCAGCTTATTCTAAATTGGGTATCCAAGCTGCATAACACCTGACCTAAATTTCATTACAAATGCTCAAAATTTTAAGACACATAAAAATGTAACAGAGATTCGTAGTCTGCAAGTTGTCATACTGCTGGTGAATCCTAAAGGTACAAACCTGGTAGGCAGATACAGGAGATGCAATATAGGGTGTAATAGAAGTCTGGGTGATCATTCGGTTTGTAGCAATACTGTATGGTGAAGGATAAAATCTAGAACACAAAAGCCTTTATTAAGTAATTCTTTAAAGAGAATAATTCATGGAACAAATGTCTGATATCTTCCACCTTCACATTCTCCCTTAAGCCATTGAATTTATCTTAATGACATACCCGTTCTGTATAGCAGCTGTAGTTGGGTCATAAGTAAGTGTCATGCCAGCCTGTAGGAAAGAGAAATATAAACATTCACCTAGATAAGGCATGATTTAAAAATCCCATTTCTTAAAGTCTAAGTCGTGGCAGCATAATACAGTGACAGTTTAGGAGCATTTGATAACACTGGCAGTTTTTGTTAACCAAACATAACTATAAACTCATGAGAATTCAGCTCTAGACCTGTGCTGTCCCATATGGTAGTCATTAGCCAAATGCAGCTACCAAAAATTAAATAAAAATTCAACCTCTCTAGCATACTAGCTACATTTCAAGTGCTCAGCCACACGTTGCTAGTGGCTATCACTGGACAGTGAAGATTCTAGAACATTTTCCCTAGATATTCTTGAACCAATATGTTTTGTTTTTTTTTAAAATAACAATTAACTGAAAATAAACATGGGGAAATGAAGGCCCAATATTTTATTAAGAAATTGAGGTGATTTTTTTTTTTTTTTAAAGAAAACTACTTAAAAGAATAAGGGGAAAAAATCGATGATAAATATACTATTTATTTTAATAATGTTATTTAGGATAATTTCTGAATATTCTACATGTAAAGCCCTCTAGAAACGTGGCTTAAAAAAAAAAAAACCTTTTGTATTTCTTAGAGCAATTTAGAATGCTTTTTTACTTGATGTGTAGCTAGCTGGTAAACATAGCCTTCCATTTGGAGAATCATCAATTGCTCTGTTAGCACCATATACACTGGGAAGAGTTTAATCTGACATCACCTGAATTATAATGTATCAGCAGGAAGGTTTAATCCTGGCACTATTTCAGAAGTGTGGCGGCCAAGTCAAGATGCCTTTGGTGTAACTTTTCACGTGCCTTTCATGATTACACACCCACACTAAAGTTTCCAGAAAGGACTTACAAGTCTCACCTCTCCTTCTCTATGCCACGGTCTTCCATTAGGGATGTATTTGTTTGGGTTCTGTCTCTTCTTCTGTCCTCCATCCGCAAACTTACACAGTAAAGGTTCTGTAGGAGCTGAGTAAATAAGAAAAAATAATACGAAACCACAATTACATGTGTGTGTGGGTGACAAAATGCAACAATTTCTTTTTTTAACAGGAGCAGTGTTAGTGCTATAAGGGAACTGATAGAACATTTTAAGGCAAAAAGATTATCAGACCCTTAAAATTATCCACTGGTAGAAAACAGTACAGGATAACATAATAGTTATTATTTCCAAACCAGAGTGTAATGAAAACATTTAAAGAGTCATTGTGGGAAAGCAAAGGAATCTTTTGATTCACTTCTGCACTTTTTAAGTGCAGATATACTTCTTTTCATTCTGGGTCCTCTCCAATTCCACATCTAGGCAGTCACGGAAATAATCTTCAGATGTGAACAGGACTGTGCCATCCTTCCCTCCCCCAATTTAAAATGCCCCGATAACCTCCCGTTATAATTCCTCAGAGAGACCTTCCCTTCTCCTAGTAGAAAACAAGTCCCCCTTTATACCCCTCACAACATATTTTTATTCATAGCATTTACAGCCATTTGGGAGTGTGGTTACTTGTTTTGTGTCTGTTTCCCCCTCTAGAGTGTAAGCCCCATGGGGGCAGTGACCGTGCCTGTTTCGTTCATCAGTGTATCCCCAGTGCCTAACTGCCTGGTACTTTGCAGGTGCTTATTACATCTTGGTTGAATCAATGAACGAATTTAAATAGGTATCATTTGTTCATTTCTGGGATTCAGCAAACAGCTGCCCACCTTATTTAGAGGTTTTCCTGTGCCTTTAATCATCCCACTTGCTATTGCTTTACTATATACCCACCACACAAAATGATCCAAAGAAAAACCCAAGAAACGAACATAGAAAAGCAAAAGATGCAGAGACTATTTTAAAGGATGTTACGTTCATTAGAGTTAAAAAAGGCGACAACACAATAGGCCACCCTGACTTTTCCTTTTCTTTGCTTTCCTATAATGGAAATAGCAGTGTATTCCTGGAAGTTGTGCATTTTTCTGCATATTTCTAGTTAATGTAATAAAAGGAATCACAACCTTCCTGTCTGGTTCCCACATTCTGTTCTTTGTCTATTGTAGAACCATGATTACTACTTTCAAGTTCTGTTTCAAAGTTAAGTAACTATGAAGAGAAAAACATTACTTGGGGAAAATTTACTCCTTTCTCCTTTGCCTCTTATTATCCTAATTCATCTCTTATTTTATATCACCATTACCACCCACTAATGACAGGGTGGAAGCCATAGTGTCTCTCAATACTTCTTTGCCAAAAAAAAAAACAAAACAAAAAGCCCGACTGCAATCCCTCCTTGGTGAGCTGTCTTGGCTGTTGTCTGGTTCTCCTTTTTCCTCTCCCTGGTGTGAGCCATTCCACAGGGATGGTTTGCAATGTAAGCTCACTTCTGAAGGACAGCTGCACTATGGGGACGAGGAGCTAAGAGCAGAAATGTTAGGTGTCTAGTGAGGGTATCAGGGAGCCTCAGCCCTGCCATTCACAAAGAGGGCCTTTGTCTTCTGACTCCCTCGGCACCGTCACCACCCTACCCCCGGCACTTTCCTGAACAAGGAACTCCCATTTAAGGCAAACTGGGTGTGATGGAAGATGGGCAGGGGCCAAATCCCAGACTGCAGATGAAGTATATACCATGTGTCTTTTCAAAAAAAGGTGCTGACTTTTGGAAATTTCTACCTTCACCAACAATCACAGAAGGTAAAATAAATGGATGCAATGAAGCAACAGAGCTTTCTAGTCACTGATGGTACTTTTAATTCTACAATTGGATCATTAAAAGACGAAAACAACATCCAAGTAGGAGGGGATAAAGGGCAAACCTTTCTAAGCACAAGAACTTACTTCACACCTGGAACTCTCCTAAATTACTAGTTATCCTCGCCTTTGTGGGCAACTAAAAGAATGCTGCTTAAAATTCCAGTACCGAATGCCCTCAGTGTCCTGGGTCAATATTAAGCATGTGCACGCACACATCTGGAAGGCTGTGGTGCTGTGGGATGCCAACCTGACGTCTAAGGACAAATCAAGAACTCAGAGAGAAGCAAGAACTCATTTTCCACAGATCTAGAGAGGTCCTTAAAACTCAAAGCATGAAATGTTTTCTCCAGTGACATCTGAGGTTGTAAGATTTTGCTTCAACATAATCCTGTAGGGAAAAGAGAGTATAAATTCTGTGGTGCTGACACTTTGTGGGTCTTCACTGAGTGGAGATGCTTTTAATCTAGAGGGTTTATAAACACTAGCTCCTAGACTGAAATTTATCTTTTTTTTTTCCTTAAAGTTTAGTTGGCTCAGTGAGTCATGCAAACTATTTTCCTCCATTAGCATATTTTCCTCCAGAGGAAAAAAGCAACCAGCTTGAACTCATTCTGGAAGTTCACCTCAGGCCACCTGAGAGCAGGCAGGTGTGAATGAAAGCAGTTGAGTAGCAAGACCCTGGTGTGTGCTGAAGCTCAACATGTGCTGAGTGGCCAAATGTCCCTATCTGTGGATAAGTGCTTCCAATACACTTTCATTCATCTAGACTCAGCCCTGTCAAAGAAAAAGAAATCTCAGGCGACAATAAAGCCTGCTAAAAATGTACGATGATGAGGTAAACATCAAGTAAGTCATAACGTTTGCAAATATATCATTTAAAATGAAACAAATGGAAGAGAATGTAGTTGAATCTTTCAAAAAGAATTATATTTACTACATGATTTTATGTTGTCATTAAGATATTTTTTTCCCGTATAATAGCAAAAAGGTTAAGTAGTTAAAACCGTTTATATACTGGCAGGTGTCCCATGTCTTAGGAAAACAAGTTTCTTATTTTGAAGAATTTTAATCAGTAGAAATGACACATTAGTTGCTGGTTCCTTGTTGCAGGGAAATAGGAGTGTCCCAGTATTCCATGTAAAGCAATATAAAATTCTAACAGCTTCTTTCCTCTGTTAAAAGTGTCTTTGGTCTATTTATCAGTAGAAATTTTTATTGAGTATCCACTATGTGTTAGGTAGATAAGACCTGTAAAAGGGATTGAATTGTGTCCCCCCAAAAGTTTAATGTGTTGGAGGCTTGGTCCCCACAATGACAGTGTTAAGAGGGTGGGAAATCCTATTATGGCAAGTGAAAGGTGTAGTCTTGAAGAGGTGATTAGATTGTAGAACCGTGCAGTAGTGAATGGATTAATAATGGTGGTCAGGGGCATGGTTTGGAGAGCTTTAAAAGGAGAGAACAAGAAATGATTTTCTCTCTGCTCCATTATTTTGAAATGTGATACCCTGAATCACTGTAGTCACCACCAGGACAGAGCCCTCAGCAGATCTGTTTCCTGGACTTTGGACTTCCCAGCCTCTGAAATGTAAGTAATAAAATTTTGTTTTCTTACAAATCACTCATTCCAGGTATTTTGTTATAAGCAACAGAAACGGACTAATTTAAGCTGAGAATACAGTGGTGGACAAAATAGAGTCCTTGCCTCCACAGGGCTTGCAGTTTAAGCACATCCGATCTTATGAAAACCCATTTTTAGTCATTAACAGGACAGAGTACTGTTTTTAGAGATACTTTTTTTTTTTTTCCTTTTTGTCTTTTTTTTGTGACCGGTAATGGGATCGCAACCCTCAGTGTCACGCCCGTACCGCGACCGGCAACGGGATTGCAACCCTCGGTGTCGCACCCGGCTCAACCAGTGAGAGGACCGGTCTCTATATGGGATCCGAACCCTCGGCGGGAGCGCCACTGCCGCGCTCCCAAGCGCCGCACTCTACCGAGTGTGCCACCGGGCCGGCCCTAGAGATATTTGTTTTTAATAAATATATTACCCAGAAGCAAAAATACTTATGCAGGCATAGATGTAGTTCTTTGACAATTGCTGCTCCATTTACTTGGATGACATTATGAGAAACAGTTTATCCTTGTAAGTTCTTTACGTATTATTTATTACAAAGATTGTCCATGTGCTCCAGGAAAGCAAATTATGTGAAGATTTAACAAATTTCCATGTATTTTAGGTGGCAAAAGGGCCTGATTTATTGTAATCGACACTTATGTGACATCTCTACCATGATGCTGAGCAACAGTTAGATGATTCAGTTTGATTTTGGGGAAGAAAAAACAAACAAAACACCCAGATCTGTGTTGTGCCCCACTTATTTTTTAAGGGTATGTGAACTTGTTACAAAATGAGAGATCCTCATCTGACTGGCATCACCGTGGCTTCTACCAAACCAGAGGGTAGTCCCTAGTTTGCCATTTGGAGTCTAATTCTCACCCCTAATCAACTGATTTTGCAAAATATGCAGAGTATTCTAGGCAGAATTTCTCCTTAATTAATCATGATCTTTTGGGTATGTAAAGGGTGCAACTCAGACATCTTGTGAGACCTCTCAGGTCAGATTCTCTTCCTCATCATCCAAGGCTATGAAGTTATTTTCTTGTTCATTGGTACCAACAGGAACACGCACCTCCAAAAGCTAGACAACTCTAGTGTTACCTTGAGCATCTGTTAAAAGCCTAGGCAACATAACAAATGCAAACACTGATCTAATACTTTTGGCAATTAAGAGCCATGACTGGGTTCTCCAATGGGCCCTCAACAGAGCTCTGAAAGTGGGATGATCATTTATAAGTGACTGTGTGATACTAACAATCCTTCCTAACAGACTATAAGCCATATGGGTAATGCTCATGATGACTAACTGCACCTTTCCAGCAAGTATTTTCCTCACCTACCTCCTGAAGTTCAAACTCTACAGTGACTTAGGCTCAAATGTCTTTCCTTGATATTCATAGTGGTTGAGTATCCCTTATCTGAAATACTTAGAATGATGTGTTTCAGATTTAGAATTTTTTTGAATTTTGGAATATTTTTAGTATACTTACAAGTTGAACATCCCTAATCCAAAAGTCTGAAACCCAAAACGCTCCAATGAGCATTTCCTTTGGGCATGACCTTTGAGCATCATGTTGGTGCTCAAAAAGTTTCAGATTTTGGAGCATTTCAGATTTTGGATTTTCA